GACTCAACAGAGAACTAAACCTGGCTTCTCTATCCCCGTCTAATGTTAGCCAGTGGGTCTCTGTATCCCCTCCCATGTGCTGCTGGGGGAAGCCTCGCTAATGATGACTGGTCTAGGCATGAATCTATAAGCATTGCAGAATATCATTAGGAATCATCTCTCTGAATTCTTTTAAGGTCGTGTTTGGTTCTATCTGAGGTTTCTGGGCTGTTCACTCTCTAGTTTCTGGCCATCCAAACCATGTCAGGCATGGTCTCCATTTCACGTAGTGGACTTCAAGTTAAATAAGACATTGGTTGGACACTTCCACAAGTTCTGTGCCACAATTGCTCTAGCACATCTTGCAGGCAGGACAGATTGTAGGTAGAAAGTTTTGTGGCTGGTTGGTGCCCCAGTCCCTCCACTGGAAGCCTTTCCTGGTTACAGAAGATGGACAGGGAAGGACAGTGTATTCTCCATTACTAGGAGTCCTCTCTGGGGTCACTCTCATAGATTCCTGGGAGTTTACACTGCACTAGTTTTTCATATTGCCCCTCAAATACCCCCAGTTCAAATAGTCTCTCCCCATATCCTCTCCCTCTCCACCCACTTGATCCCTCCTATTCCCATGCCCACTCTCCCCGAGTTCACCTACTTTCCCCTTTCAGGTGGATCCATGTGTCCCCCCTTGAGGCCTCCTTGTTAATTAGTCTTTTGGGTCTATGGATTGTAGCATGATTTTCATTTACTTAACAGCTAATATCCACTTATAAGTGAGTACAAATCATGTTTGTCTTTCTGGATCTAGGTTATTTCACTCAGGATGGTTGTTTCTAGTGTCATCCATTTGCCTGAAAATTTTATGATGTCATTTTTTTTATAAAACAGCTAGTAACACGCCATTATATAAATATACTACATTTTCTTTATCAATTCTTTGGTTGAGAGATACCTAGGTTGTTTCCAGTTTCTGGCTATTATGATGAATAAAGCCTCTATGAACATAGTTGTGCCAGTGTCCTCATGGCAGAATGGAGCATCCTTTGGGTATATGGCCAATAGTGATATAGCTGGGTCTTGAGGTAGATAGATTTCCTATTTCCTGAGGAATCACAATATTGATTTTCATAGTGGCTGTACAAGTTTGCACTCCCACAAGCAAGTGTTCTCCTTGTTCCACATCCCTGTCATCATGAGCTATCACTTGTGTTATTGATCTTAGCCATTCTGACAGGTGTAAGATGGAATCTCAAAGTAGTTTTGATTTCCATTTCCCTGATGGCTAAGGATGTTGAACATTTCCTTAAGAGTTTCTCAGCCATTTGAGATTTCTCTATTGAGAATTCTCTGTTTAGATATGTATCCCATTTTCAATTGAATTGGTTTTTTTGATATCTAGTTTCTTGAGTTCTTTATATATTATCAATATAAGTTCTCATCAGATGTGGAATTGACAAAGGTTTCCCATTCTGTGCTATTGATGGTGTCCTTTGTCTTTCAGTTTCATGAGGTCCCAGTTATTAACTGTTGACCTTAGTGCCTGCACTATCGATGTTCTGTGCAGAAAGTTGTCTACTGTGTCTATTTTGACCAAGGCTATTCCCCACTCTTTATTCTATCAGGTTTAGTGTATCTGGTTTTATGCTGCAGTCTTTGAACCAGTTGGACTTGAGTTTGGTTCAGGGTAATAAAGATGGGTTTATTCACATTCTTTTACATGCAGATATCCAGCACCATTTCATGAAAATGCTTTCTTTTCTCCACTGTTTATTTCTGGGTTCTTTATCCATAGGTGTGTGGATTTATGTCTAGGTCTTCAATTCAATTCTATTGATCAACCTGTTTTTATGCCAATATCATGTTTTTTTAATTAGTGTAGCTCTGTAGTAGAACTTGAAATCAAGGATGGTGATACCTCTGGATTATTATTTTTCAGGATTGTTTTAGCTATCCTGAGTTTTTTTCTTCAATAGGAAATTGAGTATTGCCCTTTCAAGATCTGTAGAGAATTGTGTTGTAATTTTGATGGGGACTGCAATGAGTCTGTAGATTGCTTTTGATAGGATGTCCATTTTTACTATATTAACCCTACTGATCCATCAGCACGGAAGATCTTTCCATATTCTGATGTCTTCTATTTATTTCTTCAATATATTAAAGTTCTTATCATACAAGACTTTCAGTTGCTTGGTCAGAGTTACCCCAAGGTATTTTATATTATTTGTGGCTATTGTGAAGGGTATTGTTTCCATTATTTCTTCCTCAGTCCATTTATTGTTTGTATGTAGGAGTGCTACTGATTCCTTTTTTAAAAGTTAATCTTGTATCCAGTCACTTTGATGAAGGTGTTTATCAGCTGTAGGAGTAACTCAGGTCACCACACTCTACCCTGTCCTTGGTGCCCACCTCCCGAGGCTCAGCATGCATGGCTGTTGAGCTTGTAGGCTGTAGGCAGTGCTGCTGGACCATGCTTTTTGTCTCCCAGCAGGGTAAACAAAGATTGCAGTCACAGAGGTTTCACGCTGGGAGCTGCTCAGTGAGCCTAGAGTGGGCCCTATTCAGTAATGCTATGTTCTTCGTCCACCATGTCTGTGCTCTCCCATATGGCTCCCATACCCTTCGCTGCTGTCTACCATCTTTCCTTCCAGTTTTGCGAGTCTACTTTTTAAAAACATCTTCTTATCAGACCTACCTTTTCATAGTTGTTCTGGAGGTACTGTGGGCTCTTCAGATTCCTTCTCACAGCAGGGCAGTGCTCTGGCTCCTCCATAGCAGCTCATGACTGAATGGTGAGGGCTGGAGAGGGCATTGGTTTGGTGGTCGCATCTCATCTGTGCACCGTGTTCTACATGGCCACTGCAGGTCATAGGCTGTGGCCCGATGTGGATTCTCTTCAATAGCTTTAAGAGCAGCAGTGGTGTCTCCAGGGTAAAGGGGGAGTGGTGGTGGCCCAAGTTTCCTGGTGTCACTAGGTAACGACATATCCCTTGTCCGCTGCAGCTATGCTCCCATACCTGTCAAGGCCACTGCACCTCTAGTTCTGCTTCTCTCCTCTACGAACGTCGCTCTATTCTGCCTGCCTAAGTGTTTCATTTCTAGTTTTCTATCTTGACTTTCAGAAAGTAAAAGCATAGTCTGGCCTAAAAAGTAAATTATCTTTTTCATGCTGCTAAAGTCACATAGACTTCATGAGCTAAACAACAGCGATTATTTTTGTCCTCAGTACTGAAGGATAGAAATGCAGGGTCAGTTTGCACTCTCACCAGCAATGCACAAGTGTTCCCTTTCCCCCACAACCTCTCCAGCATAAGCTGTCATCAGAGTTTTTGATCTTGGCCATTCTTACGGAGTTGTTTTGATTTGCATTTATTTGATGACTAAGGATGTTGAGCATTTCCTTAGGTGTCTTTCAGCCATTTGAGATTCCTCTGTTGAGAGTTCTCTGTTTAGGTCTGTACTCCATTTTTTTTTATTGGATTATTTGTTCTTTTGATAACTAATTTTTTGAGTTCTTTTTATATTTTGAAGATCAGACCTCTGTCTGATATGGGATTAGAGAAGATCTTTTTTCATTCTGTAGGCTGTCGTTTTGTCTTGTTGACTGTGTCCTTTGCTTTACAGAAACTTTTCAGTTTCAGGAGGTCCCATTAATTAGTCATTTCTCTCAGTGTCAGTGTGGTGATTTCTCAGAAACTAGGAAACAACCTTCCTCAAGACCCAGTAATACCACTTTTAGGTATATATCCAAAGGATGCTCAATTGTGCCACAAGGACATGTGCTCAACTATGTTCATAGCAGCATTGTTTGTCATAGCCAGAACCTGGAATGCCTAAATGCCCCTCGACTGAAGAATGGATAAGGAAAATGTGGTACATTTACACAATGGAGTACTACACAGCAGAAAAAATAACAACACCTTGAATTTTGCAGGCAAATGGATGGAGCTAGAAAACATCATTTTGAGTGAGGTGACCCAGACACAGAAAGACAATTATCACATGTACTCACTCATAAGATTTTTTTTTAATTTTTTTAAAAATTTATTATGTATACAATATTCTGTCTGTGTGTATGCCTGCAGGCCAGAAGAGGGCACCATACCCCATTACAGATGGTTGTGAGCCACCATGTGGTTGCTGGGAATTGAGCTCAGGACCTTTGGAAGAGCAGGCAATGCTCTTAATCTCTGAGCCATCTCTCCAGCCCCATAAGATGGTTTTTTAAACATAAAGCAAAGAAAACCAGCCTACAAACTACAATCCCAGAGAACCTAGACAACAATGAGGATTCTAAGAGAGATATACATCGATCTAATCTACATGGGAAGTAGAAAAAAACAAGATGTCCTGAGTAAATTGGGAGCATGGGGACCTTGGGAGAGGGTTGAAGGGGAGGAGAGAGGCAGGGAGGGGAGCAGAGGAGAGAAAAATGTAGAGCTCAATAAAAATCAATAAAAAAGAAATACAGGGTCAGGATGTCAGTTGATTGGCTTATTCTAAAGCTGCCCCAGAGACTCTGTTCTTGGCTCCTTCCTGGAGGCTGTTTGGGAAGCTTTGGTACTTTTGGCTTGTAGATGTGTTACTTTGGTCTCTGCCTTCATTTTCACATGCTTTTCCTTCATGTACATGTTTGCCTCTGTGTCCATATTTCCTTATTTATAAACATCTAAGTGTTATTAGAATAGAAGCCACTCTTATGACTCCATTGGAATTTGATCATTTGCAAAGACTCTATTTCCAGTTAAGGGCACGTTCACAGGAACTAGAGGTTAGGGCAGCAGCATTTTTTGAGAGGTTAAAATTCAATCCATTAACAGTATGTAATATTTATGAGATGGTACCCTTGAAAATTCATTGGTAGTGGTTTTCTATGTAAGCTTGAAGTTTGTTGAAACATTGGTATAATTATATGAGTGTGTGCCAATTGATGAATCACATATGAATATTTGTTCCGGAGACAGGACTTGAATGTTCTTAGAAAAACTCTATACACACATAATTTTTTTTTAAATTTTTTTAAGATTTATTTATTATGTATACAACATTCTGCCTCGATGTATGCCCGCACGCCAGAGGAGGACGCCAGATCTCAGTACAAATGGTTGTGAGCCACCATGTAGTTGCTGGGAATTGAACTCAGGACCTCTGGGAGAGCAGCCAGTGCTCTTAACCTCTGAGCCATCTCTCCAGCCCCCTACACACATAATTTAAATGAAGATTTTTCCACTTCGACTGACAATTTCCTCAGGAGCCATAGACTAACAAAAACCCATCACCAGGTATGAGAATCTCTTTTTTGAATTGTTGGCCACTGTTTTCAAAGAGACGCCCAAAACATTATAAGTCATTATATTGCCTTTGTGTATCCCCAAAAGCAGAAAGTAAGTTCCTATTGTTGAACACGTCAAACATATCAGACACAGAACCAGAGGAGCCAAGCTGCCTGCAACCTGAAAGTCCCTTCCCTGAAGACCAGCTTGCATGGTATCTGAAAGTGTCACACATTTCCAAAGGAGGAGAGCAAACAACAGTCCTGTCTGCACTCAGCTATGACACTTATAAACTGTAACAATGTCCAGAGTTGCATGCTAATGCTAAGGGTATTTCTTTTTTTTTTTTTTAAAATATTTATTTACTTATTATGTATACAATATTCTGTCTGTATGCCTGAAGGCCAGAAGAGGGTGCCAGACCTCTTTACAGATGGTTGTGAGCCACCATGTGGTTGCTGGGAATTGAACTCAGGACCTTTGGAAGAGCAGGCAATGCTCTTAACCACTGAGCCATCTCTCCAGCCCCGCTAAGGGTATTTCTTGTTGTTAACCAAAGGTAACCAAAGGTCTCTAATTGGACTGAAGGCCCACTCAACAAGAGGGAAACCTAGGCAACTACTCAGGGCTAGGGAAATCATGTGTCTTGAAGGAGAACCTACAACTGCCACTTTTCTAAAACTAGTGCAGTCCCTAACTACATTCTAAATGGTTCTCTTTATACCCTTAGTAAGTGTAGTTCTTGCCCCGCATCAAGGAAACTTCTCTTTGCAACATATGGAGACCATTACAGAAAATCACAAGCAAACAAAATACAGAGTTGTGGAGCTTAGACTCAATTCATACATCCACAATGAAATCATTACATTTAGTATTTGTATCATGTCTTTAACCAGAAAAAGCGTGACACATACCTCAAAGATAGATGTTATTAATATTTCTGAATCATCATATAATACTTGACAAGTTCTTGACACATTTTTTCATTGAAGATTATATTACACACAATTTTCTAGAATAAGTTATATTCCATAGTACTCTAAATATATATCCAAACTTAATATCCATTGGGTCATTAACCTGATGGTCATTGGTGGTGGGTTGTGTCACTGTATTTTCAAGCATCAAGTTAGCCTTGTCTTGTGGGACTGAGTTCTTTGCCATCCGTCTTGTCCCTCTTACTTTCAGGCCTCTGCCCGACATTTTCAGTGATCACATTGTTCTCCCAGCTTAACTGCTCTATGAGGACAGAGGTCTAGGTTTTTGGTCTGTTGCGCACTTCCGCAATCCTTCTCATGTCTTTCTCATCCCATCTTCTACTCTCCCAAAGGTACGTGACATTTTCAGGTACTGTGTAGTCTTTTTCACTGCCACACCTTTCGCTTCTTCCTCCACCAAGAAGGCCTTTTGGCACTCTTGATTCCAGCTTGCACTTTCTTAGTATTTGTCTCAAGTGATATTTTCTGAAGATTTGTAGACCAGATTTTCTTTCTTTTAGTATCTGTAGTATTATGTATAAAACTTGTCTTGGAACTGATTATATGATGATATAGTATCCTGTTTTCATATTTTTGTTCTTACTGGACTTTAAAAAAACAAGTTTAATTTGTTCTTTGAGAATTTAATGCAAACACGAATACAATATATTTTGATCTTATAGACTCTTTTGTTTAGTGTTCTTCCAGATATTGTAGAAATTGGAAACCAAATGAAGAACTGTATTTAGAGTTTGTAGCCTAGTAGGGGACTCCCAGTTTCTATGACCTGGAGGATGGTGAAGAAGGATGTTAAGAAGACTTCATTGATAAAGAGAAGATAACTGGAAATCTTTTAAACATGCAACTGTTACTGTGCATATTTTTACAGTGCTTTAATGCTAACAGAGTTGATTTGTTTACAGGTGGCCATGGATTTGCATCGCAGGTTGCAGCAGATGGGTGCCGTTAAGAAGAACCCCAGACTTGATCTATGGTCATTGTTATCTTCTAGTATGACACTCGACTTTGCTACTGAACTCTTCCTGTGCAAGCTGAGAAGCTTGGCTATAATTTGGTCTTTTATTTTTGTAAGTAGCTATACATAGCTGAGAAATTTTGTTCAAACTACATTTTTTTATTAATTTTTAAATTATATATTTTAAAGTTATGGGTTCTCCTAAGATTCACAGGTGTCACTCTTTTGATCAAAGGCATGTCTTTTTTAATGTTATCCTACATGGTTACATTAGTAAAATACAGACAATATATTTCTCTACTACAAATGCCAACTATTTCAAACTCTTAAGAACATATAAATTCAGTTCCTGTAAGAGTATATTTGATTTCGCTTGTGCTAATGACAGACTTGGGATTTGTTCATCTGATTTTTTCAAAGTTTTTTTTTTTGAGACAAATCTTTCAGTAACACCTATACTGCTACTGTTATGAAGTTGTCCAGCAAACCCCCTTGTTGACAGAATTCTCAACAGTGCTATGAATTTAGCACCAGGTTTTCGAGTTGTATTTGTTAACTGCTTCTTAAGGATTTTTAAAAACAGTTTTCACTTGAATATATTATCCTTTTATGTAATATAGAGGCATAACATTAATTTTACTTGCAACATTTTCAATAATGTCTAATTCTCTCCCCAACCCCTATGAAGCAGAGTCAACTAGAAACTGGTAATACTCAATTTCAAGAATTGGTATGAGCACTTTATAACACAACTTCTGTATTAAGCAGAATAAATACAGTAGAAAAATTAAAGTATTTTTTCTTCATAAAAAGTTGTGATATTTTTCAGAATTCTGGGAAATGTCTAAGTAATTTTGGCTGCATTCATATTGCATTTAATGCTATTGAGAATATTGCTAACATTAACAAAAATTTTCTGTAATTTTCCCAGTTATTGCTACTGGTGATGAGGGATGTGAAGTTGGCATACATCCATGTTTTGAGCAAGATTCTACGTGTCAGAGACAATCTTTCTTTTTAAGACAGCTGATAACATTTTCAGATGGGGATAGTGGTCAGGGTTGATTATCCCATAGATATCATATGATATCATAGAGTATAACAAATGTCTCAGAATAAACACAACTGTAAATTTTTATTTCTTAGATAAATTTTAAACATTTTTGTTATTTTTTAGTTTATTAGACTATAATAGTTTGGAATCAAAGGTGACTTTTATTCTATAGTAATTATTTTGTCTTTTTTTCTGTGACATTGGCAATGCTCATCTTACAGATAATAGGCTGTGTTGAGAAAGGAGCTTTGACAATAGAAGTAATCAACTAGCAGGTCCATTTCTACTGTGGAAAGCGGCTGGAACCTCATACCTATGGATGGTGAGTCAGAGCCACATTCATCCATCAGAAATGCTATGAATATTACTCTGCTCAGTGCACTGTTGGGACGTTGATGTATGAGCTTCATCAGTTGACTGTAAGCAATCAAAGTAAGACCGAAAAAGAAAGAAGTGGGGCCTAGGCAGGTGCCCAGTGGGTAAACTGAGGCTATTTGTGGCACAGATCTGAGATGTCACAAGAAGCCAGATGTGGTGATATGTCTAGAAACACAGTACTGATACTGGATGGAGACTAACTGGTCGGTGACTAGTCAAAATGGGGAGCCTCAGGTTCACTAAGAGAACCCATCTCTTAGTAAGGTAAAGTGTTGGAATGGTGACAAAGTGGTTAAGAGCACTGACAGATTCCCAGAAGACACAGGTTCCACTTACAGCAGCCACATAGCAGTCAACAACTGCCTGTAACTCCAGTCCCAGGGGATCTAATGGCTTCTTCTGTCTTCTATGGACATTGTACATACATTGTGCACAGACATATTCAGGCAAATACTCAGACACATATAGATAAATAAAATCACAGAAACTTTGAAAAGGAATTAGATGGAGAGTGACCGAGGATTGCTTATCAACCTTTGGACCTTGCAAAATGGGTTTTATACACACACACACACACATACACACACACACACACGTATATACATCTGTATTATTTTTTTGTTGTTGTTTGTTTTTCTTTTTGTTCTGAGACAGGGTTTCTCTGTAGCCCTAGCTGTCCTGGAACTCACACTCCAGACCAGGCTGGCCTTGAACTCATAGAGATTCACCTGCCTCTGCCTCCTTTGTGCTGGGATTTAAGGCATGAGCCACACCAACTGTTCTAAATCCATACTCTTAAATATATAAGTACAACCTTTTCATTCTCCATAATGCTATTTGTATGTGTGTTTTCTGGGCTGCCCGTTGGTGTTGGATGACCAGTTGGAGTGCTCTCACTGGACCAGACTATTTCTACCATTTTCTGCATTCCTTAGTTACTTATAGTTCTTTGTCTACGCTGAGGCCTGTGGTCTTCTCCTGTCTAGTAGATCTACAGCTGTTCTCATTAGGTTCATGTTTAGGTAATCATGTTATTGATATTTTATGTGTGTAGCTTTTTTTTTTTTTGTTTTTTCGAGACAGGGTTTCTTTGTGTGTAGCTTCTCACAGCAAACTCTCTGATTGTGACTTTTCCAATCTTTGGGCTTCCTCTTCCACGTGGCTCCCTAAGTCTTAGGTAGGGGAGTTTTTCTATAGTTGCCTCCATGAAGCTTTGCATTTGATTGGTTATGGTTTTCTGTAGTAGTCTCCATCTATTGAAAAGAGAAGTTTCACTTATGAGTGGTGATGACTACTTATCTGTGGATATAATTATAAACATTTAGAATGTGGTGAGGGAGTATACTGGTTTAGGAAAGTGGCAGTTATGACTTCACTAGGTCTGGGGAGTTGGCTACGTTCCCAGTACTAGGCATGGCTTACCTCTTGTTGAGTGGGTCTGAAGTCCACTTAGAGAGATGTTGGTCACAAACAAGGTAGGTTATTCTATCATGCTGAGTATTTTTGTGGTTCATAGGCATCATGACTAGCTCTGGATAGGACTATTGATTTCAAGTCAGTTTGTGGCTGGAATTCTTTAAGCAGAACCTTCATGGTATCTCCTTTGTATATTTAAGAGTACTCTTCAAGTAGTAGAACAAGTAGTTAATTCTCAAGTTTTCTAGAGGCTGAGATTAGGATTATGGGAAATACATTTAATTATAAGACAGGTCCCAGCCTCAACTGAATGTGCCAGACATTGTTGACTCCCATGAGTGGCCTTACCCTTTCTGAGACGTGGTTAATGGAGTTGGGAGGAGGGGGAGAAAAGTAGGGGAGAACTGTGGTTGGTATGTAAAATTAATAAAAAAAAATAAAAATTATAACAGGTCATCTAAATGGTAGCCAATTGGTCACCTAGCAGATATATCATGAAATATGAAATGTTTGACCATTGTCTTAGTTTGGGTTACTAGTGCTATGATGAAACACCATGACCAAAAGGAGTTGGGGAAGAAAGGTTTTATTTGACTTACACTTCCACATTGTGGATTCCAATAGTCTAATCTTGAAGAAACTTAGGACAGAAACTCAAACAGGGTGGGAACCTGGAGGCAGGAGCTGATGCCGAGGCCATGGAGGGATGCTGCTTACTGGTTTCCTCCCCATGGCTTTCTCAGATTGTTTTCTTATAGAACCCAGCCCACAGTGGGCTGAGACCCCCCACATCAATCACTAATTAAGAAAATGCTCTACATGCTTGCCTACAGCCCATCTTACAGAGGTGTTTTCTCAATTGGGATTCCCTCTTGTCATATGACTCTAGCCAGTGTCAAGTTGACATAAAATTAGCCAGCACAACTATCGTCAACAAAATGTACATACTTGTTTAGAAATTTTGGAAACTTGTGTTTCTGTAACATTTATTTATTCATTTGTGGCTATGTGTATTGAATCCTGGGTCTTGCACATGCTAGGATAGTGCTCTGCCTCAAATATGGCCCCAGGTTTCTGTGATTTTCATACTAAAAGTTTTTAGATGACTTTTCTTGTTTATAAAATATATGGATTCCTTTGGATATATACCCCAAAGTGGTATTAATGGGTCTTGAGGAAGGTTGTTTCTGAGAAATCACCACACTGACATTCAAAGGGGTTGTACCAGCTTGCATTCCCACCAGCAATGCAGAAGTGTTTCCTTTCCCAAACGATGCTCAATTGTGCCACAAGAGCATGTGCTCAATTATGTTCATAGCAGCTTTGTTTGTCATAGCCAGAACCTGGGAACAACCTAAATGCCCCTTCACCAAAGAATGGATAAGAAAAATGTGGTACATTTACACAATGGAGTACTACACAGCAGAAAAAAATAACGACATCTTGAATTTTGGAGGCAAATGGATGGAGCTAGAAAACATTATTTTGAGTGAGGTAACCCAGGTACAGAAAGACAATTATCATATGTACTCACCCATAGGTGGTTTTTAAACATAAAGCAAAGAAAACCAGCTTACAATCCACAATTCCAATGAGGACACTAAGAGAGCCTTACAAAGATCTAATCTACATGGGAAATAGAAAAAGACAAGATGTTCTGAGTAAATGGAGAGCATGGGAACCTTGGGGGAGGGTTGAAGGGGGGAGAGGTAGGGAAGGGAGCAGAGAAAAATGTAGAGCTCAATAAAAATCAATAAAAAAGAAATAAAAAATTGGAAAAAAATAAAATATATGAATCCCATTCCTTTTAGTCTTCATTCAGGTGTTCTGCTGTAAGTCACTACAGAATGCTCCAGCCTCACTCTGACAACCCTTTGTTTCATCATTTCACATCGCGGGCAGTCCTTGCACACTCGCAAATTCCAGGAAAACTGAGTAGCTCCCAGTCGTGCTGCCATGACAATCTGTTTTGTACTCTTGTATTCATTCATATTTTTGTCTTGACCATTGTGGTATTTTTACTTGGCTTATCTTGTAAGTAGCAACTTTTCATCCAGCAAGTTTTCTTGATGACTTTTGTCACTGAGATTTCCAGTTCACAAGTCTGTTGCAGAAATTGTAGTTTATTGTTCATAGCTGTATTCCTTTTTTTTTTTTTTTTTGCTGGACTAGATTTTTTTAAGGGTAAGCACAAAAGTCACATGTTATGGGTTTTTGCATTTCCATTTTTGGTGTGATCCATGACATAGGACGTTTAATGAACAGCTGTTGAATTAAAGTCTGGATGTTCTCTCTAGAAAAGAGAAGGGAGCACCAACTGCGGCGATGAAGTCTGTACCGCGGATTCCGAAGGGCGCTGTGAAGGTTCTTCTCAGAGTCGTCAGTGTGTAAATACTGTGCTCCCAAGGTCTCGCTACAGTCATACTAGCATCTTGGACTCCATGCACAGAACTTGGCAGTTTTGAACAACTATTTGTGATTGAAAAATGACCGACAAATTTAAGGTCCCAAAGCTCAGTTTCAGTACCCAAAAAGCCGCTGTCTCGCCCGCTTGCCCCTCTCTTCCCGTGCTTCACACCTGAATGTTGGACCCCCATTACTGTTCTGTGAGTTTTTATTAAAATAAAGAAAAAAAAACTTAGTATACCCTATTTGGAGCTAGTGTGGGATTATTTGATTCGCGACCCCCCCATCTGTCGTGTTCCACTTCAGTAGCTAATTTTATTAACAGATATTAGGTTTTAAAGATTGTAGACCTTAACGCTATTGTTTTTCTGAATAAGGTCTCCAAATGCTTGGGTATTAATCAATTCAAGTTGGGAAAGGACATTTCTGTTTGAAAATTATAAAAGAGAAGTTAAAGGACGTCCCATTTGCTACCACATTGAAAGTTTCATTTGCTTTAAAGTTGCCATCCTGATATCATGCAGTCTTGATTAAGTGACTATTATGTCTAGAATTACTAAAATGACACAGTTTTGCATGATTCAATAGTTTTACATTTTAAAACCACCATTTTATCACATTATTCTATTACCAATATGTGAAGTTTTACATTGGCTTTGTATTTTGTCTTGACCATTGTGGTATTTTTACTTGGCTTATCTTGTAAGTAGCAACGTTTCATCCAGCAAGTTTTCTTGATGACTTTTGTCACTGAGATTTCCAGTTCACAAGTCTGTGACAAGACAAAAAATTTGTTTTGAAAATTTTAACAACAGTATAATTTCTGCTTTTGCATTTCAAAGTGAATTTATGATGGTGAACTTATCTTTTCAGATAAAGAAATCATTAGGGTAATTTGTTAATATTCATACAATTTCTATAAAATGATATCAGTTCTATAGGCCGTTTGGGCAGTTGCCTAAACCCAGGCTGTAAAAATAAGTTGTCTTTCTTTCTTTCTTTCTTTCTTTCTTTCTTTCTTTCTTTCTTTCTTTCTTTCTTTCTTTCTTTCTTTCTTTCTTCCATTCTTCCTTTTTTTTCTTTTTGAGACAGAGTTTCTTTGTGTATCTTTGGAGCCTGTCCTGGAACTTGCTTTGTAGAGCAGGCTGGCTTTGAACTCATAGAGATCCACAAGCCTCTGCCTCCTGAGTGCTGGGATTTAAGCCTTGGCCCACCACTACCTGGTTTTTGTTTTTCTTTCTTAATATCAAAGAAAATGCACAGGGAAGATCTCTGGCATTAAGAAATTCTTTTGCTAAAGGCAGTGTAGTTTCCCTTAAATGTCTAATTTGCAAAGAGATCATGATACTGCAAATTTAAAAAGAGGGAATATTTTAATGGTTAACAGGGAGGGTCTCTTTCTGAATAGCCTGAGTTGGTAGGGGTTTCCATGGGCCCCTTTGGCAACAACTCAGTTAGATGTGACCCATTTCTTGCACTGGAGGTTTCAGTTGATGGTGAGAGACGCCTCGCTGGGACTGTGTCTCCCTGCTATTTGGTGATTCCATTTGTACTTCCTTTACAGTTAGTTGTATATATTTTAAGAAGCTTCTACTGTAGTGTGTTTCCATAGACCTCTCAGTGGCCCTTAGTCTAATTCTTCCCCACATTTCCTCTCTTATCACATCTTCTTTTCCCCTCTAATTCTCCTGTCCCACTCTCCCTCGTTCCATGCATCTATAATATACATTCTTTTTCCTTTTCATAGAGAGATCTTTCTTTCCCCCAGTGCTTTACTCTACAGTTAACATTTGGGGATTGTATAGCCTGCTTATCAAAGATTTAACAGCTAACTTCCACATGTAAGTGAATAATACCATGTTTATCTTTTTGGGTCTGTGTTACCTCACTAAGGTTGATTTTTTTAGCTTTGTCTAGTTACTTGATAATTTCATGATTTTGATTTTTTAAATAGTTGAGTGACATTCCATTGTATAAATGTACCATATTTTCACTATCTATTCATCGGTTACTGCACATCTAGGTTGTTTCCAGTTTCTGGCTATTATGAATAAAGCAGCAATAAACGTGGCTGAGCAAGTGTCATTGTAGTAGGAAATATATAGTAGGACAATAATTGCATTATTTGTTTACATGATGTCCAGTTTTTTGAAGTTCTTTATATACTTTAAATATTAGCTCTCTATCAGATGTGTAGGTGGTAAGAATCTTTTCCATTCTGTAGGCTGCCACTTTGTGTGAATGGTGGTATCCTTTGCCTTGCATTAGGTTTTCAGTTTCATGAGAGCTCATGGAGGCGGGACATGGCATCCCAGCAGGAGGAGACGAGTCCAAGAGCAGACAAAAGAGTCAAGGATACACCAGCTACGGGTCCACAAAAGCATCAAGCTAATAGCACATATGAGAGAACCTGGTGAAGACCCATGCAGGCCCTGTGCTTGCTGCTTCAGTCTCTGTGAGCCCCTATGAGCCCTGCTTAGTTGATTCAGCGGGCCATGTTCTCCTGGTGTCCTCCATCCATTCTGACTCCCGAAATCTTTCCTCCACCTCTTCCATGGGATTCCCTGAGCTCTGAGGGGAGAGATAGGATGAAAACCTCCAGTTTAGACTCTCTCTCAACATAATGTCTGGTTGTGGGTCTCTGCACTCCCATTTGCTATTGGAGGAAGCCTCTATGATGTTGACTGTACAAGGTACCGATCTAGATCCATGATCTGTGAGTATAGCAGAACATTTTTAGGATTTTTTTTAGACTAGTCACGTTTGGTTTTGTCTAGGGGTCTAGATTATCCAGTCTCTGGTTTCTGGCCATCCAGACAGAATAGGGCACAGGCTCCCTCCTGTGGGGTGGGCCTCAAGTTAAATCAGACATTGGTTGGCCACTCTCACCAATTCTGCACTGCAACTGTCCCAGGGCATTGTGGGCAGGATACATTGTAGGTCAAAGGTTTTATGACTGGGTTGATGTCCATGTTTCTCTTTTGGTAGCCTTCAAAGTACCTTCCTGTACCAACTTGAATTCTTCACATTTAGTGAATTGTGTGGGAGTTGTCACCCGCAATGGGCTCTCAGTTAGTTTGCAGACAGCACCTCTCTGTCCTAGTTTCAGCCCTGGTTGTTTAGTGATCTCCAAGGGACCCCCTTGGCTAACAACTCAATTGAATGCATCTCAGTCCCACCAAGGGGAGTCTTGCCTGGCTACAATAGATGACCAGTTCAGACTCCCTATCTCCCATTACTAGGAATCGTCACTGGTGTTACCATTATAGATTCCTGGAAGTTTCCACACTGCTTCCCAAATTCTCCCAATTCCAGTTGCCTCTCCTTACACTCTCTGCCTCCACACCATCTCTCCCCACAACCTGATCCAACCTGCTTCCATTCCCACCAGTTCCCAGTCCAAATAGCAAAATATATTTTCCTTTCACAAGATTCATGCCTCACCCCTTAGAGCCCTCCTTTTGACCTATCTCTAGGTCTACAGATTGTTGACTGGTTATCATTTACTTAACAGCTAATATCCATGTATAAATGAATACATTACCATATTTGACTTTTGAAGTCTGTCTTATCTCACTCGGGATGATTGTTTCCAGTCTGTCCACTTGACTGCAAATATAATGATGTTATTTTTTTTATATATTTTCATTTATTTATTTATTAAAGATTTCTGTCTCTTCCTCACTGCCGCCTCCCATTTCCCTCCCTGTCCCCCAATCAAGTCCCCCTCCCTCGTCAGCCCAAAGAGCCGTCAGGGTTCCCTGCCCTGTGGGAAGTCCAAGGACCACCCTCCTCCATCCAGGTCTAGTAAGGTGAGCATCCAAACTGCCTAGGCTTCCACAAAGCCAATACGTGCAGTAGGATCAAAAACCCATTGCCATTGTTCTTGAGGTCTCAGTAGTCCTCATTGTCTGCTATGTTCAGCAAGACCGGTTTTATCCCAGGCTTTTTCAGACCCAGGTCAGCTGTCCTTGGTGAGTTCCCGATAGAACATCCCCATTGTCTCAGTGTGTGGGTGCACCCCTCGCTGTCCTGAGTTCCTTGCTCGTGCTCTCTCTCCTTCTTCTCCTGATTTGGACCTTGAGATTTCAGTCCGGTGCTCCAATGTGTGTCTCTGTCTCCTTTCATCGCCTGATGAAGGTTAATATTCAGGAGGATGCCTATATGTTTTTCTTTGGGTTCTCCTTCTTATACACACAAGATGTTATTTTTTTAAAAATGAAATTTATTTATTTTACATCTCAATCACAGTTTCTCCTTTCTCCTCTTCTTCCATTCCCTCTCCTCACCTTTCTATTGTTCCCACACTAAATCCACTCCTTCTTTGTTTCTGTTCAGAGGGCAGGCCTCCCGTGGATATCAACAAAGCATTGTATATCAAGTTGCAGTAAGACTAAGCATCTCCCCTTGTATTAAACCTGGGCAAGGCAACCCAGTATGAGTAATAGTGCCCCCAAAGCCAGCCAAAGTACAATGAGCAGCATTAGGAACTGACCCCACTCCCAGTGTTAGAAGTCCCACAAAGTAGACCAAAGTATTACCTCTCTCTCTCTCTCTCTCTCTCTCTCTCTCTCTCTCTCTCTCTCTCTCTCTCTCTCACACACACACACACACACGGGCTTGGTTGGTCCCATGTAGTCTCCCTGGTTGTCTGTTAAGTATCTGTGTGCTGCTATGAGCCCAGGTTAGTTGTTTCTGTGCATTTTCTTGTGATGTCCTTGACCTCTCTGGCTCCTACAATCCTTTCCACCTTTCTTCAGAAGGATGTTCCAAGAGCAGCCTAATGTTTGACTGTGGGTCTCTGTATCTGTTTCCATAAGTTACCAGATGAAGGCTCTCTGATGACAATTGGGGTAGTCAAAAATCTATGAGTATATCAGAATTTCATTAGACATCATTTTACATTGACATTTCCCCCCCAAGCATGTTTGGTTCTATCCTAGGTCTCTAGGGCATCCATCCTCTGAGTACCAGCACTACAGGCATTGTCAGGGGTGGGCTTACTTTAAAGGCATGGGTCTCAGGCTGGACCAGTCATTGGTTGGCCACTCCCACAATCTGTCTGCCACCCTTACCTCAGCATCTCCCATTAGGAAGGACCAGCTGTAAGTCAAAGATTGTATGGCTGGTGAGTGTCCCAGTCCCTCCATTGAAAGTCTGACCTGGTCACAGGAGATGGCCAATTCAGGCTACATATCTACTCTTGCTAAAAATCTTAGTCGGGGCCATCATTGTAGCTTCCTGGGGGTTTCTCTTGCACCAGGTTTCTAC